AAAAAAAATAGAGAACATTGAAAAATTGATTTTGATCTGGATAGTATGAAAGCATTTATGCATAGTGTCATGTGCAGCACTACATTTTTGTAAATTATATGCATCACCCACTACATTTGTATTTTAATATTAAACAGTGTAGCAATAATGACAATAAGATTTTTTATGAGACTGTATTAATTATTCTTTCTTTATTTCTTGGAAAAGTTTGTCTGGTATATGTTCTAAGATCTGGAACAAATTCATGATGTATAGAGGTATTACAGTATGTGTTTTAAAATTTTCAAAATTGTAGAAATAAGGGTTGATCTTTACATTATGGTAACTTGGTGTTTTTTTGGCGAAAATTTGGCGACCAACTCGCCTACAGAACCCTCTTTTTTTTTCCTGCCGCATTTGTCTCACGAAGTAAAGACTGTTTTTTCTTTTGATTACTGAACACTCTTCAACATCTACTGCCGAATGACACTTATGCTAGAATTTATCTAAAAAACTGCTAATAATGACAAATATTCCTGCAAACTGGAAAAAAGTGCACATACATACTCTTACGCGTTTTTCAAATAACACATACACTAAACATGTACAGCCGATTATTTTTACTTAAAAAACAATCCCAAATTGCACAAAAATAGCATTGCCACACTCTTCACTATATCATGTACACTGCTTTTTCTCATAAATTAGAAAAATTCACGAAAAACATACAATTTTCTCAATCTTTAAACCCGGTAAAAAGACATATTGAAAGTACCTGATCGCGAAAAGATTCCTTCCAAATATGAACATTTCCACATATAAAATAAATAAAATATCAAAAACTTTACCTCTAATCATCTATTACATTATACACGTCACCAACGAATTCATCCGCAAGCATACAAGTAATTAGTATCAAATATTAATTATTTCCATGCACTTTAACTTCACTTAACGTAACAAATTCCGACAAAACAGAAAATTCACAAATAACTCTCATTTATTAAAATTAATTAAATTCAAAAACAATCTTAAAAATAAATGAGAACTACATTAAATTAATACATCTAAATACCCAGTTTGACTTCACTTTAGTTACTGCCATGGGATCAAAAATTCACGACACTATTTCACACAACACAGAACAAAGCCAATACAAATTTCCAGATTTTCCCCGATTCCCCCCTTTTCCGATTAAAGAACCGTAATTCATCCAAATATCACATGACATGTCCCATGATCTCTCATTTCCCTCACACAAAAATGCGTAATCGGAATGAGTCTGCTCACATTATTACCAAATTCCCAGGTAGTAACCTTTATCGCCTCCAAAATGTCGCCAAACTACAAGTTACCATATTGTAAAGATCAACCGAAATAAGAACAGCTTGTTTGTATTAAGATTATAGTAGCCTGCAAAGAATCAGAAATTTGCTCATTCCAATATAATGGAATAATGCCTCCCTCATGAAAGCAAATGAGTATGTAAGTAATAACCATACAATGAAAGTGTATGGTTGACAATTGCAGATAAGTCTTTAAGATCTTTAATCTAGGAAATTGGTTTGAATGAAATTAATTATGTTTACATTTGTCATAATATGCTTATCAGTGATATCTGTATCTATGATTAAATGCTGTGCTTGAAAAGTTTTAAATAATATGGATATTTTTATAAATGGAGACTTTTTGCATTTCATGGATGACATCTGTGAAGAAATCTGTCACAGGCATACAAATAATATGTATCGTACTGCATTTACTAATATTGCTTGGGTTTGAATTTAATGAAAAATAAACTGCAAATACTTGATTTTTTAATCACCTTTTTAGTATCAGTGTTTACATATTTTGAAGAAGTTATATATGTTGGATATTTCTTAGTACAGTCAAAAGTCGTTAATTCGGACACCCATAATCCGAACCTCAAAGCTACAAACTTTCTGCGCATGCGTCGCTTTCATGCATGCGACAGCGTACGGAGCACGTCAGACTGTACGGATGCGATTATGTTTGTGCGATGCGCGTTTAATGTGTAACGAAGGTATAAGTGGCTAAATATCTAATTCAGTTATGTGCGATTGCGTTGTTACTAATATCGAATTGGATCCGGCTTATTATCTTGCAGATGTTAGAGCATTTCATAAAAGTAAGCTTGAACTTCGATTAGTCTCATCGATTCCGATATATATTTACTAAATGTAATTGTATCGACACAGCGAAGTATGTTTTGAATACTAATATGTTATCATTTCACGCCCCGGATTGGAAGTTGATCTGTCAGCAGATACTTATCTTCAGGGCAGATGTTGTTATTTATTTGGCTTAAATTCCTATTAATGTAGTATTTATCTCGATGTATTGTCTTTGATATGATTATCAAGTTCCTAGTCTTATAATTCGCTTCGATAGTGAATAATTGACCCAGCAGTTATTGAAACGAAAAATTTCGATTGACAAGTAGTCGGGTATCTCGCACAGCAGTAGGGACTTGAACAGCGGAACTGTAACTGAACAAAATTATCTCTTTATAGAATTAAGAAAAGTATTATCACAAAAATGAAGAAAATTAACACCTACATGAAGAAGGTTTAATAAGTAACATAAATATTTTGTTTTTTTTTTTTTTTTTTTTTTTTTTTTTTTTTTTTTGATTTACCTTTTGATACATATAATTGTTTTTTTTCAAAATGGTTTTCTATTTTTAATTTATAATTTCTGCATTGCCATCTTACCGTTTAAATGTGATCTATAATCTGGAAAAATCGATAATCCGAAAATCGCTGAAGTCCCGACGAGCGGAATTAACGATTTAACGTGACTTTTGACTGTAGAGAAAAGTATACCAGAAAATCTTGTTCTACAAGTTGGTCTTGTAGAAATTTTCATCACAGTTTTAATTTTCTAGAAATTCCTTAAAGTATTATGAAAAGTAATTCTGACTTGCAATAGATCAGCAAAATAAATGAAGAAATTTATTCATGTTAGAATGGTAAATATTAAATTTGATGAATGTTTTCTCAAAAGTTGTGTAAAATAAAAACATATATCTTCCGTTGGCTTTTGACTCATTAAGAAAATATAGAGAAAATTTATTAAACTTAAAATATTTTATTGAAATTTGTCAAAAAAATTTCAAGTATTTCAAATGAATGCAAATTGATTCAGTTTCTAAAGGAAATAGAACAAGAAAAGTGACAAGGATTTTAACAAATTTTCAGAAAAACCGTTGCGGACTCTGAACGTGTTTTAATGCAAGCATTTTTATCTTAATCATTATTGTTCAATATTGAAAAAAATAATATATTTGCTTTTATATTACTAAAAACATTCCTTAAAAAAAAAAAAAAAAAAAAAAAAAAAATTCTGTAAATGAATAAATTAAACAAGTAAGAAGTTTTTCTAGAAGATTTTTAAAATTGCCTTATTCTGTACAGTTTATTTTACAATTATTATTAATTAAAATGAATGATAACATTGTTCTTTAATGTAGTTTACAATGAACTAATGCTTTTTTTTTTTCTTTTTAAAATTTTTCCAAAATGACTATTTTCATGACTGTACCCATAGCTTCTGCTGCAGCAAAAAGAATACTAAGAGAAACTTAATATCAATGTCAATCTGAAGTTTATTTTGCTTAATTTTAATTGCGATATTGATGTCACTCTATATAAATGTAATCAATATTATATCCTCCAGAATTTTTCTTGAAATGAAAAATTAGTTTTAGTCAGAATTTGGATGTCATTCAGTCTTTAAATTTCTAAAGCTTTCTTAAATTTTCTTTCTAATTAAAAAAACAAAAACAAAAAATCAAAATTTTTATTTTAGTGTTGCAGTTTTACATTAAATTTGTACGTGCTTCAGAAAATATTAAACTTTTAGCCTTATGAAAGAAGGGTGAAACTTTCCCGAGTGCTCTGAAGCTACTCATGATTACAGTAGTAGAAAATTCATATTTTGTCCATTATAGGGCAATATGCACGAAACAAGTATCTGTAGAAAAATAATGTGCCAGTGTTATCTGGTGGCTAGCATTAAATTAAATGTGATGTTAATATCTCTTAAAACAGCATTTATGTGTCAAAGCAAATATGGTCAGTAAAACAGTTTTAGGATTTATCATTTTATTTTGTATTTTGTGTATTGAAGTAATTAGCCTGAGATATTTATTTCTTATAAAATGAGTTGATGATAAAAATATGTTTTCTTAATAGGTCAAATTAATACATATCTTGCTGTAAAAATTCGCACATTTTCTTATGACAGAAAAGATCCAAATTTTTTTTGTTCCCTTTAAATAGTATCTAATCGATTGAGTTTTAAAATTTAATTTGCTTATGAATCCTGCTTTTACTTTTAGGGAACTCTTGAAGATGGAACAGAATTTGATAATAGTTACAAACGTGGGGAACCTCTTTCCTTTACGCTAGGCTCTGGACAAGTTATTCGAGGTTGGGATCAAGGACTTTTAAAGTAATTTTTCGTTTTATTTATTGCTTTTGAAATTCTGTTTTGTAGTAAGTTATTGAGGTTCTTGTATATTAACGTAATTACCTTGACACAATTTGGTGATTTTTTATAGATCAAAAGCTAAAAGTTGCATATTGGTCACAAGTGTTGTTTTCACAACTGTTTAAAAAAGATTCCTGAACTATTAAATCCAAATGAGATTTATCATAAGACAGGAAATGTTATCAACATATGAAAAGAAAATGTATACTTAACAATTTAAAATATAAATGTTAATTGTTAATTAAGTAGTATGAGATATTTAAAAAAAAAAAAAACACATATCCTTCTGTAAATCTTTTTGTAATTTTTTTTTTGTGTGTGGGGGGGGGGCGTCTTTTTCTGAAATTCACAGTGATTTGTTTTTGCTTAAAAAAAATCAGCCAATTGCAGAGACTTTATGTAGTGCAAACCTTGGCAACATTGGCTATCTGCTAAGTGCATCTCTTTATTGTTCCTTTTTGAGATTTTGTAGTGAAATTCTATATTCCTGCAGAGATTTTATTACAGTTTCTTCCATTGCTGTCAAATTCTACAAGTGCATATTTTAAAATTAAGTGTAAAGTAAAAAATACTGTGATTTGTTTATAAAAACTGTTCGAACTTTGAATACAGCAAAAAGAATGCGTGCAAAAATAATGATGTTGCTTGATTAAAAAATTGTTATAAGTTCATGATTATCTGAAAAATTATTATGCATATGGTTCCCAGAGTTTGGTACAATCAGGGGAAAATCTGGTGACTTCTATAAAGGTGGTTGTGATAACATGTAACTGCATATTATGTGTAGTGTTGTATGTTGTTATATGATGTTATATGAAAATATGTAATTTTTTGCTATTTATTTTTATCAGTATTTAACTTGTTTATAAATTATTTGGGAATGCATATATATACAGATTTTTAAATTAAAACTTGTCAAAGAATTTTGTAGTTCATCTTCTCATACTCTCCATTTACTGCATAAATGAAGTAAATAATCAGAAAAATAGTGTCATTATTGTTAACAACGAGATCGATATTGCTAACAAAAATATAACATTAGTATCTTTTCTTTGATCAGTTGGTAACTTTAAAAATTATTTGAGCCTTTTTATTGAGATTTATGCCTTACAAGTCTTAAAGTTTACCAGTTATTAAAGCTCTTTAAGGTTTAATTTACAGTTATATTTCATTGTGTTGTAATGATTATTATTATTTTTCAGAATGTGTGAAGGTGAAAAGAGAAAACTTGTCATACCCCCAGATTTAGGTTATGGCTCAGCTGGTGCCCCACCAACTATTCCAGGTAAAAGAAGCAGCATGTATTGTTTAGAACAGGGATGGGCAAACTCCGATCCGCCGGAAGATTCTATCCAGCCCGCGGATAGAATTTTAATTTGCCGGTCCGAGGCAAATTAAAAGAAATATTTATTTATATTTATGTTTATAATGACAGAAATAGCAAGCACAGACAGCTTTCAATCGGTAAAGGGCTAAAAAGGGAAGTTCCTTGTTAGTTAAATGTAGATTGCACCAACAAGCATTATCTATTTTTGGGAAGCAGGAATAGAATCCAATATAGGTAATCGATCTAGAAAAAACTGAATCTTATATCTTAACTTAAAACTTAATAAAATTTAATCTGTTGCTGGGCATCTAGCTATGATTGCAAGTTCCCGAGGTTTAAATTCATACTCTCAGTAATGAAGAGAAGCTAAGAATTATGAAGATGGCTGAAAAAATGCATTTTGTTCGAACGAAGATTTCAAGATTTCAGTTCCATTCAAAAGAATTGGATATTTTATCTGCCTTCAATTAAATATGAAGCAGTGAGTCAGATTTGCAGCTTGAATTAATTGAGTTGCATCTAACAATCATCGCAAGCAGTGTTTCTAATATCCAAAGATATAATTTACAAATCATCATCTAAAGTTAGTTTCCCAAATTTAATATCTCATGCCCAGAAAATCAGTGCTATGTTTGCTTCATCTTATATATGTGAACAAATGTTTTCAACTATAAACCTTAGAAAGAATTATTTCAGAAATAGACTGACAGATGAGCATTTAGCCTCTTTCCTTAGAATCAGTACATTTCACTTTGAACCTCAATATAAGAATTTTTAAAAAGGAAATTGAAGTTTCATCATCTCATTAACATATTTAAATTGTAGTACTTGTATATTGTTTTTAAAATTTTAGAAAAATTTATTTGGGCCCCCGAAACTTTCTTTTTTAAATTTTTGGCCCATGACCGAAAATGTTTGCCCATCCCTGGTTTAGAACATGAACTACTTAAAACAATTAACACCACTATAAAATATCTTTAATTTCTAGATTTAAGTAGACTGAAAATTCATTTATATGTGTATAATTTAATTACAATATTAACCATCAAAACGGACATCATAAGTTGTTTCATAGAGACGTTTTCATTATTAGTGAAGCAATGTGGTTCCTCTGATTTTTTTTTTTTTTTCCAAACATAGCTGTTAATAATTTAAATGTTCATCAGAAACAAAATGTGTTATACTGAAATTTATGCTTACAAGTTTGCAAGTATTCTTCATATGTAAAAAAATATCAGTTTCTCTAAGAGATTTTGTATAAATAACCAATTTCATGCTATTCAATTACTTGCCCATTTAGAAGTATTGTGTTCTTAATAATAATTCCAAATCTAAATAAATAAAATAAATTCATAAAATTCTGGAATACTGCTTTGAAAAAATATTTTAATTATAAATAACCAATTATTCAGGTAAAATTTTAGAAGAAAATTATGTGTAATATGATTTGTACTAAGCTAAATAAATCTGAAACTATAAATTGCAAATCTGAGCAGAAAAGTTTTATAAATGTAGAGTTACCCAAAAATTAAATTAATTCTTGAACTTGGAAGAATTATAGAATTAAAGGAATTATGTAATACATCCCCTATTTACACATTATTGAAGTCATTGACAAAAAAGCTCAAATATTGTGTGCAGTATATTCAGTTTTATACTTTGCTGCTCCAGAATTGCCTTTGAGATAAAAGGATCATATTTTTTATGGTTGTTTTGCTTGAATTCATACTTTTAAATTAAGGCATTTTGTAAGGAATTTTCTAGTGCATGTTCTCATATAAATTAGACTTAAGTGAGATTAAAACAAGATCAGTGTTATTCAAAAGTCAAACAACAAAAATCAGAAATTCGTATTTGTTCGGCGTGTTATTGTTTACAAAAATATTACATTCTTTTCTTTTGTTATTAAAGAATAGGTTTTAAAAGGAATTTTGTTAGGCATCTACATATATAGATTAGGCTTGATCCAACATCACTTAAATAAAGTCAGTGTTTTGCTTACAAAGATATCGCATTCTTCTCTTTTGATTTTATAAACTTTATTTAAAAAAGGAATAATAATTTTAATAATTTGATTTATATTAAGTGTCGCTATTGATTTTTGATATGATGTGTAAATGTAAGTTCTATTCATCAGTGTTCCATTTAAAGCAGAATTTAAAATATCTTCGAAATAAATGTGAGAAATCTCTTTATAAAAATTATTTTGAAATCAGGTTAAGAAAATGTTTCTTCCATTTTGATAATTTTCATACCTTATATATAGGGTGATAAAATTTAATTTGGCAGTTGAGAGCTTTTGAAGAATCACAAAAATCACTTGATAATCCAGATACATCTTTATTATTTGATGCACTTCACAATGGGGGGCAATTTGCACCCCACAATTTTGATGATAGTGCATTACATTTTTAACAAAATCAGCCAAGCAACAGATGTCCTTCATCAAGCAAGGATTGGCAGAGAAAGAGAGAGGGAGTAAGATTGCTACAATATTTATAGTAAAATATTTCATTAATCTGATTGGCTAAAACTTATAGGCAATGCAGTAGTTTCAAGATGACATAATGCAGAATATGTTTTCAGATATGATGCAGTTTAGAGAAAGTTATTACTAGAGACAAAGTACCTAAATTAAAAAGGAGCAATTAAGAGACATTTTAAATAATAATTTTGATTTACATTTTTTTATCTTATATATATATAGCAAGACAACATGAATTAGAGAGACCTTAGTCATCAAGAATTTTGCTCATTGAGTTGCAAAATTTTTTAAACTTAAGAAGTAAGAGAAATGTTTAAAAGTTCATGCTAAAAAATGCATTTGACTCTTTAGTTCCTTAGCAAAAATGTAAAATCATTCAGCAACTAGAAACAATAATAAAGTAGTAAAAGCTATCTCGTAAAAACTGAATGTTAAAATTACAAGTTGAGATTTCAAACTCAAAAAGGGTTGAGAAAAAATTAATAAATTTTAACTCACAAATAATTTTAAAAGGACTTTTGTAAAATTTAAACATATTTCAAAAATACATGATATGTACAAAAAATTGCAACAAATGGTAAATAGCTCAAGGTTTGAGCCAGATTTATCAAGGGAAAAGCAGCTCAAACTTGATTCAAGTTTTGAGCTGCTTTTTCCTTTAAATCTGGCTCAAACACTGAAGTTGAAAATACACCAAGCTAACACCAAGGAATTCTCTATTTTTCTACCAAAAATTAAACAAGACCCCAAAAATTAATATTGTAAAATGTTCAATAAATTTAGAATAACAATTTGCAATAAAAGTAAACCCTGAAACTTTTAGAAGAGCACATGGATACTATGAGAAGTCAGCAAAAAGAAAACACTGAAAATGCACTTGGCATTCACAAAATCTATAGTAAGCAATGTTTTATTATGCTGGAACATACCGAAAAGTCAAAATTTAATGTATTTGGATCTGACAGATGAATTAATGTGTGGCAAAATCCAAATTAAGAATTGAACTAAAACTGTTGCCTAATGTTACACACAAAGGTAAAGCCAAAATGGTTTGGTAATGTTTCATTGCCATTTTATGAACACATTTGTGGTATAATGGTTGTTAAAAATATAACTCGTTTACAAGGGGGGAAGCATCTGTACTTAAAGATTAAGTTTACCAATGAATAGGAATTACAAGAATTAGACAAAAATTTAATGATATTTTGATTTTGTAGAAACAAAATTGAATACTCATAGGCATTCTAAGGATATTTTGATTTAAATTGTGCTTAAATTTAGAGGGTTTTAATGTACACTGTTTGCTCAGAAATTTTGGTGAATGACGTCATAGTGCTGTTTTTTTTTTTTTTTTTATATATAAAATGTGCACTTTGGCAAATCCCATGTTGGATTTGTCAAGACTGTTTTGAACCAGTTCCTGAGCAACAGCTCTGCAGGTGTGTTTATCATGTGGAAATAGCTCATTATAGAGTGAAGATATTGTGTGTGCGTTCAAAATTTAAAATGGATCAGCGAATGAATATTTTTCAAACTTGAAAAATCAATGAAAGAGACTCATGAAATGATGATAACAGTTTACGAAGAATGTGGTGTAACGTTGAAATGCGTGTATGAGTGGTTTAATACTTCAGAGAAATGCGGGACACCTTTGAAGACTTGCCTCAAAGTGGTGAACCTGCAACTGCACTCACCCTGGACAATGTACAAAGAGTGAAGGATCTTTTGGCCTAGGATCGTTGCACGACAGTGCAAAAATTAGCAAAAAAGTGAGAATTATTCATGAGATGGCCCACCTCATAATGACCCACAATTTAGGTAAACGCAACACCAGATAAAAACCAGCTTTGTGGGTGATGAGAGCTGGTGTCTGAGGCATGACCCCAAAGGCAAGTATCAGAGTATGGAGTAGCGTGGTCCACAGTCGCCAAAAAGCAATAAGGTGGGAAATGAGAATTCCAGCATCAAGACAGTGCTTGTGATGTTCTTCGACTCTGGTCTGATCCATAAAGATTTTTTCTTGAGGGCACCATGTTATATGCTGCTACATATGTGGAAATACTAAAACATTTGCTGCAACGGATCAAGCGTGTATGCCCCCAGTGTGCCAAGCAAGACAATTGCACCCTGCTCCACAGCAATGCCTGGCCATACACTGCCTTTCTGGTGCAACAGTTCCTGCCCAACAGGAGAGCTGTGTCCCTAAAATACCCACCTTACTGCCCAAACTTGTCTTTCCCGTACTTGTTCCTTAAATTGAAATCACCCCTAAAGGACCAGAAGTTTTTGGACATCCAATATAATTGTACGATCCAGCTGATGGCCATCTTTAAAGATGACTACTCCAGGAGTTTCCAAGACTCAGGAGTGTAGGTAAAGGGACAAGGGAGGGCATCTGTGGCCGGGTGCAGCATCCAGGGGGTGCCAAATTGATGTAAATTTTTTAAAAGAAATGTTTTCCATTCTTGGTGAAAAAGAAGGAATTCCATTCAGGGAATTAATGCAAAACTTTCAATTGTTCCCAAGCACTAAGCTACAGCTCTGTCAAGACTTGTACAGCCATTCCCAGATGTGCATTACTGTCAATGGGGATTATTTTGAAGGGCTGTAATAGCTGTTTTATGTAAGACAACAATCCATTATAACTATAGACACATTCACCAAACTTTCTAGACAGAGGTATTTCAAAAGATTTCTGATATAATTATGCAATTATTTTTATTAAAAAATGTAAAAGTGTTTATGTGTCTGGGAGTTTGATATAGCTGTACTGCAGTATAGTCCTTACTTGATACTAATTGTCTTACATTAAGTATGTATATGCATCCTCTTGCTGAAGCATGTGCTTCATTTTGTCTTTTTGATTCCATTTTGATTTTTGATCATTCCAGTCTCTGCCTGCTTTTGGCACTGAAAACAAACATTATTATTTCTTACAAAATACTGGACCTTATTTACCACTCCATACTTACATATCAACTTGTACATAACCAGTACAGCTTATTTAAATTTATGCAAAAAAGCAGCTTAAGATTGGCATAGATTTTGAATAAGATTGAATTCAAGGGTGATGTGATATATAGCCTTGTTCTTCAAGAATAATAAATTTTTGTTTTTGAAGAATAAATGCTTATATCAGATTACCTTTGAAATGAATAGAGTTTTAGTCAAAATCTATGTAAATTAAAAAACAATTTTTTTTTTCATCTAATTCAAAATTTTACATCAGTAGCATGTTTTTCTTCCAGTTAGGCAACACAACGTATGCTTAAGAACTAATGTTTTGCTATCTATTTTTTACTTTGATTGCACTATTTTAAAGAATTTCTTTAGCTAATGATCATAAGAGATTATAATGCATTAATTGCCTGTTTAATGCCTATTTAAGTATACACTTTCTTTACATGGTGTAAAATTGTGTTTAAGAATTTATTAATATCATTTAATTCAACACATGTCTAAATATATTTTATGTATATAATAATATATTTATATTATTATCTATTGTTTAGGTGATGCTACTCTAGTGTTTGAAGTGGAATTAGTGAAGATAGAGAGAAAATCTGAACTATAATTATGCATTTTAGGTGCAGAGATACACATTTTAATTTTATTTGTAATTTATGCAAACTGCAAATATTACATGATTAAAAATAAAAAATCTTAATTTTTTTAGTCATAAAACTACTTAAGTATATTGTTAATATTTATGTGTTTTGGAAATTAATTATGAAATTACATTCCATGGTAGCAGAAAATTACATTATGCCTTTAAAATAATTTAAAATGTTTTCTTGTCTGTGTTCAGATTTGTTATATTGTATCTTATTCCAGAGAGAGAGTTGTGATAATGGTTTAGGAGCTAAACTTTAAAATAGCTCTGGAATTATTTTGTATTTAATTGCGATTTTAGATTTATATTTCTAAAAAAATTAATAATTAAGCAGTAATTTCTATTTACAAAAACAACAACCCCCCCCCCCAAAAAAAAAATTTTTTTTTAGTTTATTTACTTTTTGCATTTAATGTTTTCAGTTCTGAAACTGAACATAAAATGATTAGTTTTGTCCACCTTTTATAAACTATCAATGGTTGTGTATGCAATTGTTATCTTTGTGTAGTGGATTTTATTCTTGCAATAATAAAAGATAAGAAAAATTTTATTTTGAGACTTTTTGCTTTATTTAAAATTTGCTTGTCATTAAAATTTTAAGAATACATTCTGGTATTTTACACACATATATACACATAACAAATAAAGCTTTTCATGAAAAATTTTTTTAAAGTTATTAAAAATTATATTAATTTTCTGCATCAAATTATTCTTAATTCAATTAAATGGGTGTTAGAAGTCAAGTAATAAATCTAAAAACACAAGTAAATTGTTTAGATAAAAAATATGTATATAATATAGAACAATTTCCCTTATACTGAGAAAATATTCTTTCACATAATCGATGAGATATAAATTGGCAATAACTGATCTAAAAAGTAAAGGTAAATTTAGCAGTAGGGTGACTTCAAAACCGATAAGAGATAACTGAATCTTTCCGAAAAAAAAAAAGAGTTGCAAGAATTTAATTGCAAATTAAGCGTTTATTTAAAGATATTTGAAATAAGATGTCTGAAGCCTAATGAATAATTCACAGCATCAATTTGTTTCATTTGATGCTAATTCTAATTATGAATTTTTGACTGATGTTTAATAGAGATAAAAGGCTGAATGTATCGGAAATCTTTTTTTTTTTTTTTTATCTTGATTGCTAATGAAAAGAATAAATGCTTTTAAAAATCTTTTGAGTTTTAATTTCAAATGGAAGTGAATTATACTATATCTTTCATTAAAGTCATGCATATTCCATTTTCAATATAGTCTTTTTTATGTCTATAAGCAATCTTTGTAAGTATTGTTTGACTTACCTGAGTTTTTTTTTTTTTTTTTACTGTAAATACTTGTACTGCGTCTTTTGTTTAAAGTCTTGAAAGTCTTTCATTGGAATTAATGTATCACACACTTTGAACCCACCTTGCAGAAGTACAATCAGTTAAAATGTTTGTCAACAATTTTTGTTAAAATTTCTTGAATAGTTTTTCTTTGTGAAGTATTTAAAATTATTATTGCAAGGTAGTTAATAAAAATAAGTTTTGTTGAATGAGTATCTAAGTATTGTAATAGAAAGCTTAAGTATGAATGTAATTGCATCCTTTGTTTGAAGTCTTGAAAATCTTTCATTGGAGTTATGTATCGCTGACTTTGAATCCACCTTGCAGAAGTAAAGTCAGTTAAAAAGTTTGTCAATAATTTTTGTTAAAATTTCTTGAATAATCTTTCTTTGTGAAGTATTTAAAATTATTATTGCAAGATAGTTAATAAAAATAAGTTTTGTTGAATGAGTATCTAAGTATTTTTATAGAAAGCTTAAGTATGAATGTAATTTTTACTAAATAAACTTTGCAAGTTGTATTAAATTCATAATTTGTACATTTATTTCATACTGAAGAAAAATATATATCTATTCAGCAATAACTAAAATTTCTCCCCATTCCTAGAAATTTCAGTTTTATAAAATAGTAATATGTAAGAAAGTAATTTCATAGTAATGAAATTAAGTTCAAATGATAAAAGTAAACCTGTGTGCTTTTGCATCTGTGTAATAAGTAAATGAATAAATTCTTTTTCTAGATATAAAAGGAAGAATGTTGTGTTTACATTTAATATGCAAATTGAGATTTGTTTATTTCAAATGCTTAAATGTGATTAAATATAACGTAATGTAAACTGTCTTAAAAATAGAAATAATGTTGGTTAATTTGTCTAGTCTTTTCCACATTTGTATTGTACCTATATTTTTCATTAAGGTAATAAAAACTTTTTCTAAACGAATTTTAGCTATTGTTTCTTTGAAACCAAGTGGATGCCAAAACAGAACTGGTATTATATTATTAATATCAGAATTAAAAGTATTTGTTAATTTTATCTTAATAAAATTGCCAATATTGAATTTTTTATTATTTATTGATGTAGCAAAAAACATAAATGTAAATAGAAATTTTTACAGCACTATGAATATTTGCATGTTAACAGTTTATACCAAACTAGCTGGAATCTATGATTTTATGAATTAGAAATCATTCAAAAATTGATAAAACTCTTTTGAAAATAGAATCTTGAGATAGGATATTGAAAGTGAGATAGAATTATTGGCTCATTAAAGGATTATAGAGAATGCATAGAGGATATTTTTGGATATATAGGAAATAAAATAAAGCTTTATTTCAGAAAGATAAGGTCTTACTGTACAAATATAAACAATACTCATTAATTAGTAATAAAGTGAATGGAGCTTTTTATGAAATTCAATTTAAATGAAACAACTCCTTGGGTTTCAAGAGGTAAAAGAGATTTGCTCATTTAGACTAATTCTGCTGACAGGCATTGATTCACTGGCATTTAAAAGTCACCTAACATGATGAAGTACTATTTGTCAAGTAAAACAGAAGGAATGAGAAAAAGATATAGTTTCCCAATACTTTTAAATAGTAAGGCTTAAAATTAAAATCTTAATTCAAAACTGACAAATTTTGTTGAATGTTAAAGGGTTCAAAGAAATACATTTTATTTAAGTTATCTAGATTGTCAAATGTCTATTAATTAATTAAATTATTTTGCATGTACACATGCATAGAGTAATTTGCTTCTGAAGCAATAAGACTACGCAATAGACTAAGCAATAGAAAACTAACTACTGTATGTTAGTTAATATTTTGAAATCAATCCCAATGAAAGGCTGACGTTTTCCAGTTTTAATATTTCAAATTTTCATCTATTATTTTTCACTTAAATTTGTTATTTGATTAATTATGAAGCTATTTGATAACTATTTTCCTAGGGAAAGAGAAATTGTCCCAAATTTATAGGTTACTGAGTACATATTAATATTACTAATTGGATGAAATGACAAAAACATAAAGAACACGATATTGCCTAATTTAAAAATAAAGAAAAAAAAAATTGCCTGAAAATTTTGAAATGCTCCCTGAATTCTTTCTGTAGGAGTAAAAGTATTAGGAAGACTTTTTTTCTCTTATAAAAGAAGAACTCTCTTTGACTGAATCTTTCGAAATGGATCGGTTGTTTTCTGTTAATGGGGCGCCACGTAGACGGCAAGAAATACAATCAGATGACATCAATCCTAATGATAAAAATTGTTCTAAGCATAAAGCTTCATGAAAAGAATAATTATTTTTTGTGTGTAATGAGTATGATATGTATAATATTTAATTACCCGTGACGAAAAGTATGTGATAGAATTTTGGGTAAAGTGCAGAATCACCCACTGCTTGACGCGTTTTTAAGAATTGCACATACTCGGTATCCATGTACACATCAACTTATTTTCACACACACACACACACAAAAAAAAAAAAAAAAAAAAAAAAAATTGCACAAAAATGGCACTGCGTCCACCCTTTATCTATGTACACATCGACCTATTGTCACTTAAAAAGTAAAAGAAAATTGACAAATATCCAATTGTTTTTATCCTTGTAAAAAGCGGCAAACAAATAAGTGAGCGATTCTGCACTTTACCGAGAATTTTTTCAAAGAAAAGGCATCATTCATCATAGAAAATTATGTTTGAACAACCAAAGAGATGAAATTATGCTTTAGGGATAACTCGGTAGCGAAATAGCGATGCAGGCATCCATTCAGTGATGTTTAGCAATTTTTATATACTAAATTATAATAAATGATCTAAAATAGTTATTTACTCTTATGCTTCCATTCAGTCATGTTTAGCCTTTTTACTTCCTTGCACGAAGTAAAAAGGAAGTACTGTAATTGTGGAAAGTTTCAGGCAGCATATTTCAACAAAAATATCCATTTTCACCGCTATCGAATGCAATTTTACGATGTTTTTCCGTGACATCTGTGCGTAAGGACTCTTTCCCCCCCAAAAAAATTGTAAAACTAATTTAAAATGAATTCTGAAGAGAATTTTTCGTGGTGTCTGTGTGTACGTATGTACGTATGTATCTCGCATAACTGAAAAACGAGTAGCCTCAGAACGTTGAAATTTTATATATAGGACTGCTATAACATGTAGATGTGCATTTCGTATTTTGTTTGCAATCAGCCGCACCAAAAGTATATAAATTATATGTATATATATATATCCACTCTGTTACTCGGCTCAGTGTTCTCAGTTTCTTTATTCTTATATGTTTGTAAATTGTGCATTTTTTGCTTTAAAAACGATTGAATTATGTTGTTTCTTATCTTCCGGTTAAGGTTCTATGCTTTAGTAATATGTACGCAATATTTTTAGAATTATCAACGTTTTAAAAGTCGTTTAAGTGCCGCTAAGCCTAATATTTTTTTCCATGGCGGCCATTGCTTGTTTACATTTTAAACAGCAGAATAGTAGATTTGTTGCCAATATAGAGAAAGTAAGCTTCGAAATAACAAAGACAACGCCGCCTTTTGTTATTGCGAATTAAAGCATGCTTAATCCCTTCTGGAATTTTTTCGAGGAAATAAGTGTTTAAGATTTATTTCATAATTTCCAATACAGACATTTTGAGTTTTTATGTATTTTGCCTTGTCGCGATGTAAGAACTGAAATTAATTGAATGAGAAATACTAAATCGTTTGTGAAAAACTGTTTCTTTTTTGTTGTTGTTGTTGTTCTTTGCTTAATTTCTTTTATACATCGTTTTAGATTTACTATAGTATTTGAATAGAACATGTGGCAACGATTAGATAATTCTTAAGATGATATAAATTTTGTGCATTCTGAGTTAAAAAAGGAATCAAATGTAACGCTGTTAAGTGAACCTAGGGCCAGAGTGTCGCTATGGTAAACAAATATTGTGAATTTTAAAGAGTGCATTTATTCTATTGTGGTTTATACGCTATCGACGAAGTAGATTTAATTCAATCCAATAAGTTTAAATGAAATGCAAGAAAACAGTGCGTATAATTTCATATTCCGTACAAGAAAGTCATGTGGTGCACACATCAGATTTTATGTTCAAATAAGCTCTTTGAAGCATATTTATTTACCAAAATATTTATTTCTATTACATGTATCCACACATCAAAAGTTCTTTTCTATTAGTAGCCACTTCTCAAAAAGCGCCAAAGTTTTATGCCAATGAG